CGAGTGACATGTCGTGGACATATCACATTGAGAAGGTGCATTCTAAGGCATCGTCTATTGTAGGATTAATGAAACTGCATAAGCATTTATTGACTAAAAATGCACTTGAAATTATTTTTAAATCTTGGGTACTATCAATTTTGAACTACGGTGCTGTTATTTACTCATTGACTACATCGAGTAATTTGAATAAACTGGAGAGTATGCAGTATTATGCTGCGTTAGCCACCTTAGGAGCAATGAAGGGATCAGCGAAGGACAAATTATTTGGTATTTTAGGTTGGATCACAATAAAAGATCATTTTAGAATACTTCGTTTGTTATTTTTTGCAAAAATAGTAAAAGGTTTTACTCCTCAATATCTTACTGTTCATTTGCAACGCCATCAGCCTTATGATAGATATAGTTTACGTATTAATCAAAAATCTACAATCGATCCGGTAGACAGTACTGACGACGATTTTTTTACTGTAGTAACTAAAGAATGGAATAATCTGATACAGAAAGATCCAAAATTTTTAACAATGAAGCTTTCAAAAATGCGCAATATATTAAAATTTGAGCTTTTAACATCCAAGTTATTTCCAAAGCGACTAAAATTTCCTGCTAGACGAGATGAAATCTTTTTTATGGGATTAAAGTCTGATTTTCTGCCTTTAAACTTTTATCTGCATAAACGGAAGTGTGTATACTCGCCTAAATGTAAATGTGGGATGGAAAGGAGGATGTTGAACATTACTTTCTGCAGTGCCGTCTCTATCACAATGAGAAATCTGAAACACGAACTACATTTTCTGACCATGATTACAGTCGACACACTGTTGCTGAATGATCTTAATTTAGACGAGGATGCACTTCCTATTGTTTTAAAAGTAATTGTATTTTACGTTAAACAAACCAACAGATTTGATGATTAGCTAGTAGAACGTTAATAAGTTTTAATAAAATTTAAATTAGTCCACGCCACGTCTCTCCGTCTAGTCTGTGTTATTTTCGCTTTTCTTGACGTTTTTAACTTTTTTTTATATATTATTTCACTGTTCATCCTCCACCTGTTACACTTTATCACTTAATGTAGCTTATATTATGCATGGCCTAAAATGGTTCACCGCTGGCCGTATTATTGACACAGTAAAGATATAAATCAACTGTTACAAGATAATGTAGTATACCCCGCCTATTTAAAATCACTTGTACTGTACCGATTGGGAGACCCAACAAGGGCATATTACCTATCTTTCAAAAAACGTTTCTAATCCACGAGCGCTAATACTGCTGTATGGGGATGATGGCCACTGTGTTAGACCTGTCTTATGAGTCATTGCAGAGAAGTTACGAATCGTGACTTGAGCACGGCTGATCGTGGGCCACGATCAACCGTGCTCAATAGACTTTCTTGAACTTGGTTTCAGTTACATAGGTCAACAGTACAAGTAATACTAGGTTTTTTGCCGCAAACCGCAGCTCTACCATCCAGGTAGTTACCGACATGTTCACTTTTTAAGAAAAATTGCCGTTTTTTTAGTAGTGAATTGGGATCAATTAGTGTGTAAGGGTACCCTCCGCTTTTTTGACACCTTGTTGCCAAACGCGGAACACACGTCCGAACGAGCCCAAATGTATGTCAGAGATAGAACGTTTAAAAAGAAAATCGAAAAAGGACCCAGAATTTTCTGAGATGTTCGTATATGGGTTCTCTGGAAACCTTCAGTTTTCATCTGGTCACCTTACGACCTCTCGAAAAAACGGTCCGTTCGAGCTCAAATTTTACCATAGATACTTTAGACCTTATCTCAGAAGTAAAATTTTTCTTTTCGAAAAATATGCTTTCTTTCTCGAGATATTCAAAAAATCCTAAAAATTCTGTGTAAAAAAAACGGTTTTTGATTTTAAAAACCTTTTCACACTGAAACTTGAAATCGAAAACGTGAGAAAAAAATTTTATTCCTAAGATAAGGTCTGAATTATCTGTGGTAAAAATTTAAGCTCGATCAGATCATTTTTTCTAGGATCAAAAAAACGCATAGTGAGAAAAACACATTGTGTGTAGGCTCTTTTTCAGGACATTTGCAGTGATGCTTATACCTTCACGAAAACTCATCAGAAATTTTTGCTAGGCGTCTCATTTTGAAGAGCAGACTTTCTTCTATCAGTCCATGAATCAGAAAATTTTGAACATACAGAAAGGAGAGAAACGTTTACGAAACTAAAGTTGAGATTTTTTGAGCTTTGAACGAAAAAATTAAAAACTTTAACGAAGGTCATGGATAGTTGGGAGTGGTTTCATTTTATAGCCCAGACTTTTCTCTACATTGGGCTATGTTCAGCTCAAAATGAGAAATTTTTGCAAAAAGGAGGGAGATTACCTTTAATTTCGAGTGTGTTATTTTCTAACGGCTTGACTTAGGGGAACAAAATTTCAGCACAGGTACAACTTGAATCACGCTAAGGAACAGCACTAGTCCGGACCCTAGAAATCGTTTTATTATCAAGTTAAAGATGGCGCTACTGCTACTACTTCGACATTCATTGTCTCGTGCCTAATCCGCTCAGTAAGGTTGAGACTTTTAGGATAGATAGTGGAAAGGAGCAGGCCGGCAAAAGAAAAACTCTGGACTTCCCAGGGGAACGCGAGATATTGAATTTTTAGTGAAATCTCCTATTTTTTGTGTTTTTTCACTTTCAGTTTCTGTGACGATTTTTCAATAAAAACACCATAAAAGTTTGTTTTTATAGGTTAGTTTCTATCTTGGATTCACTGCTGATGCTACTGGCATGACCTGTGTCATTTGCTATTCGATGTTGAAGCGAAATATTTAATTCAAGATGTACTCTATTTTGTCTCCACTGTTCATCAACTTAAACTAAACTTCTAAAAGCCAACTGAGTATACTTTGGTTTCGGATAACGATTTTCTAGAAAACTCCAGAAGTAAGCAACGATTCGTTTGCTAAGGTTAAGTACAGAATCCGATTAAGCAGCTAAAATAGACTACATCTTGATCTGCTGGCGTAGTTTGCATCTAGGTATGGGACGAATCGAGTGGGCGCTCGAGCGCTCGATGTAGGAGCGAATTCCTCAGAAAAATGATAAAAAAGATTCGGGCAGACTGAATCCTTCTCTCTTTTTTTCTTCTCGCAGTTTTCATTTCTAAAGACGCTCACATTAGACTACATGGAGTTCTTAATTTAAAGTCTTTTTTCTTCTCTTCATTTTCTGTTTTCTAAGTAATTCAACTTCATGCTGAAATCGATGATAACGATGGAACCGATCGAAAATTAAAAACTGTCTTTAAACGATCCATTCAAGGTGTCCAAAGTTTCTTTTTTTCTAAGGAACTAAGGCCTAATTCAAAAATCGGCTACCACCAGTGCATGCATAATTTTATGCTCTTTCGATTAAACAAAAATGTTCCTATATGATGAACTGTTATCAAAAACAGGGGTTTCCAGTAGATGAGTTTAGACAGAAAACGTGTTTTGAGAAAAAATGCTGTCCACTGGTTGATCCGTTTTAGAAAAATGCTTATAATTCTTGAACGCAAGCTCACTCTGAGTTGTACAGCTTATTTTGATCAGGAAAGTCTGCTCTACAAATCTACAAGTTCAGAAAAAATTTATTGGCATAAGTATCCAGGAAAAACGATTATTTGAAGACGCTGGTTTTCAACTCTCCTAGAAAACTTGTCCGAAAACCATCTCTAGGCCCAAAACCAATACAGATTCTGAAAGTAGACACTCCAAATTATCATCGCATGTGCTTCCCTCAAAACTGACCTTTTTTACCCAAAATCGACATTTCTGAGGGAGGGGCATTCTTAAGCAAAATGTGTCAAAATACGCGAACATTTATTTCAAGGATCATGTAACTCAAAATAAATATGTATGTTACCGTCGAGGAAATATTCTTCGGGAATGCACATTCCATTTGAACAACGATATTCATCTAGTGCACATTCATTAAATTCAAGTTGTTCGCAGTTTTCTTCGTCTGTACCATCTAGACAATTCTGCTTATTATCGCATATATTTCTCCAATCCAAACATAATAAACCAGAATCACATTTCAAATGTGGATGGTAACATGTTATGTTTCCGAAATGTTGACTACCCAAAATGAATTGTGATTTCAAATTAAACTGATGTTTCACGGTAGCTTCAAAACTGTCTTTGGCTGTAATCAGTTCATATTGGCAATGCTCTCCAAATGTACCATATTTTGAACAATTGCACACTGTCTCATTCTCATAAACTTCAGCTCTAAAATCTATCTTAAAATGAGTGACATTGAATTAATTTTGATCTAATTACTCACCCATTCAAATATGCCGAATATCGGTCAATTTTGATTATACCTGAATTCCATGAAAGAATTACGTCTGGTCTTATCTGAAGTCGTTTCAATGTTTTGAAAGTATGTTCACTTCCATTATTCAAGCAATGATTGATTATCTCAAGTTGTTTTCGTTCATTCGGTCGTCGACAATATTTGATAGATTGAATTTGACCACTCATCTGATTTGTCAAATAAATACAATCGAAATAGTCACGTTTATCATTATCATCAGTATCTGACAATAGAATAGATTGTATACTTAACCGACACAAATAATGAATAATTAGCCAATATAACAGAGTCATATTATGTTGGAAAATTATACAAATGAATTCATTTTACGCATAATTATTTAAACCTTCGATAATGATATGGTTTATTTTTTAGTATTGCAAAAAGAGATCACGTACATCAAACAAATCAAGAAAAAACGGAAAACACACCTATCGGCACGTAACAAAGAAAAAGAGTATTTTAATCATGATTTTGAAACTTATAATGCTTTTACACTTGAATTAATCAACAGTTGAACGATTACACCAGCTAAAAAAATCGAGGTAGGAAGATTACTTTGAAATCAATTGCGTTAATTCACATGTTGAGAAGTTATAAAAATAATAGCAATCCTCACTCACACTTAAATAGATTCATTTTTCCTTCTGAAATTCTTGACCAACATCTGAGAAGAACATGTTCACTGTTTCGACTCTGGTTCTGTGAAAAAGTTATTTTGTACGATTACCAATGAATGAACAAGATTTTACAATGTACATCATTCATAGTCAAAGACTAGTTTGATATGCTATTTCATTTACCAGTGCATATCTAAAACCATTGTTTTTAGGTCAGATTTTTGGATAAAAGTCTATCCTGGGTCTAAACCAGATTTTCTCATTGTGTCCCATTAGGATCCGCCTTAGATTTCATCCGACCGAGTTCAAAATTTTACTAGAGATACTCAAGGTGATTTCGCAGAGATGATTTTTCGAAAATTTTTTTAAGACTTTCCTGGTCGAGTTATAAAAAAAATACTGAAAAACATCTCAAAAACCAAGTTTTTTAATTTTAGAAACCCTATAACTCGGTAAAGAAAAGTCTAAAATAAAATTCGCAAAAATCATCTCTGCGGAATCACCTTGGGTATCTCTGGTAAAATTTTGAATTCGATCGGATGAAATTTAAGGCTGGTCTTAATTGAACACAATGAAAAACCTAGTTTTCTGAAAAACTGATGAACGGCAATAGTTAAAAACTTGAAACAAAGACAAAAACGTGCTTCATTGAGTTTCCAATCAGTTCGGAAAATATGAAGCCTTAGTGCCTTTTAGTTTTTATTTCACAGCATTTCTACGGAAAGCCCAAAAAGAGGGGGGGTACCCTTAACTAGTTCATCTTCGAGGAAATAAGAAAATATTAGCTTATTTCTTCAAAAATAATAGATTTATTAATTCAAGTGTAAAAGCATTATAAGTTTCAAAATCATGATTAAAATACTCTTTTTCTTTGTTACGTGCCGATAGGTGTGTTTTCCGTTTTTTTCTTGATTTGTTTGATGTACGTGATCTCTTTTTGCAATACTAAAAAATAAACCATATCATTATCGAAGGTTTAAATAATTATGCACGCAATGAATTCATTTGTATAATTTTCCAACATAATATGGGTCTGTTATATTGGCTAATTATTCATTATTTGTGTCGATCAAGGTCAAAATGGTCACTTCAAAAGGTGCCAAATTTTGTTTCACTCAGTTCAGAACAGAGATCGGCACAGTTACCGTTTTCCGATCCGCATACGACTTATACCTAAACATTTTCTCGTTTTTGGTTTCCAACTTTTGTTTTCCGGCTGTAGATGTCAAGTTATCATTACGTTCTCAATAACTCTTTTGAAACTTCATGTATTTTAACTAAAATCTTGTATTTTTTCGCTATAATTTTGTGGTTGTCCACTAAAATCTTCCGATTTTCTGTAAATTAAAGAAAAACAGAACCCGTATCCGACCCATACCCGACAACTTCGTACCCGTACTGATCTCAACCTTCGGGTTGGGTCGGGTACGGATCGGGTTGCACATTTCTAGTTCAGAAGAAAATTTGGAAATATACAGATGTTGAGACGTGAAGAGCGAGCATTTCCTACAATCCTGACAATTTTCTACTGTAGTTAAAATTATATTAAACCATTTTCTTAACAATGGCAATTTAGTCAACTAGTTTTTAGAAAGTAACGGGTGTAACAGAAATAAACGCACTTTTTTATTTTCACTATAACTTCGTCGGGTTTCGTCCAATCGACTTAAATTTTTTTTATTAAATTCGTCTTGGAAATCTCTACAAAAATATCTGATAACTAGTTTTCTAACAAGAAAATTGTTAGAATTGTGGAACCAAAAATACGACGACTAAAAACACCAACTTCATAAGGCAAAAAATGATTTTTTTTAAATATCATCATAACAGTCTAAGATAGGAGAAATTCGAGACGATCATTCGAA